AAACTCAAATCATCAGGAGGCAATAAATAATAAGGCTGAGAACAGAAATAAATGAAATTGAAATTATAAAAACAATAAAGAAGATCAACAAAAAAGCTGCGTTTTTGAGAAGATAAACAGAATAGTCAAAACTTCAGCCAGACTAACAAAGAAAATATGATAAAACTCAAAATTAGAGATCAAAAGGGATACATTATAACTAATATCACTGAAATACAAAGGCTCATAAGAAACTACTATGAAAAACTATTTCAGTGAAAACCTCAATGAAATGGACTAGTTCCTGTGTACATATAATCTACCAAGATTAAATCAAAAAGATATAGACAATTTAAACAGACCTTTAACAAGCAATGGGATAAAAACAGTAGTTAAAAGTTTTCCATCAAGGAAAATTCCCGAACCTGGTGGCTTTACTGGGTTTTACAAAATATTTAATACTTTTCAAACTATTCCAATGTATTGAATAAGATGGAACTCTACCAAATGCTTTGTATGAGTCCAACATCACTTTGATACCCAAACTGAACAAATATACAACACGAAAATAAAACTACAGACCTATACCCTTGATGAACAAAGGTGCAAAGATTCTCAACAAAGTATCAGCAAAACCAACACCGAAGTCACATAAAAAAAAAATCACACATCACGATAAAGTGGGAATTCATGGGTGTTTCAAATTCAGAATTCAATAATGTCATAAATTGCATCAAGAGGATGAAGAACAAAAGCCATATTGTCATCTTAATAGATGAAAAGAAATTATTGGATAAGATTAAACACTCCTTCATGATAAACAAACCTCTACAAATTAGGTATAGAGGGAATGTGTTTCAAAATTACAATTGTTATTTATGACAAACCAGCAGTCAATATTGTACTGAGTGGGGAAAAGCTGAAAACATTTTCCCTTAGATCTGGAAAAGACAAGGATATCTACTTTCACCACTCTTAATTCAATGTAGTACTGGAAGTATTATGAACAATTAGGGAGGAGAAAGAAATAATTGGAATAAAATTTGGAAAAGAGGAAGTCAATTTATCTGTTTACAGATTACATTATGTTGTATTTGTAAAAACCCACATACTCCACACACACACAAAAAACTGTTAGAATTCAAAACCATTAAGTGAAATTTCAGGTTACAAAGTAAGCATGCAAGAAACTGGTAATTTTTTATATGCTAACAATGAACTTACTGAAAGTGAATCAAATCCAATTTACTATAGCCACAAAAATAATCAAATATTTAGGAATAAACTTAACCAAAGAAATGAAAGAACTGCACAATGAAAATTACAAAACATTGATAAAAGAAATCAGCAAGGACACACACACACACACACACAAAAAAAAAAAAAATGGAAAGATACTCCTTGCTTGTGGTTTGGAAAAATCAATATCATTGAAATACTACCTAAAGTTGGGGCTGGTGCCGTGGCTCACTTGGTTAATCCTCGCCTGCGGCACCGGCATCCCATATGGGTGCCGGGTTCTAGTCCTGGTTGCTCCTCTTCCAGTTCAGCTCTCTGCTGTGGCCCGGGAAGGCAGAGGAGGATGGCCCAAGTGCTTGAGCCCCTGCACCCGCATGGGAGACCAAGAAGAAGCACCTGGTTCCTGGCTTTGGATTGGCGCAGCACTGGACATAGGGGCATTTGGGGAGTGAACCAACGGAAGGAGGACCTTTCTCTCTGTCTCTCTCTCACTGTCTACAACTCTACCTGTCAAATAAATAAATAATTAAATAAAAGAAGTACTACCTAAAGTAATCTACAGATTCAGTACAATTCATATCAAAATACCAATGACACTCTTTTTAGAAATAGAAAAGAAAATCCTAAAATTCAGGTGCAATCACAAAAAATGCAGAATAGCCAAAGCAATCCTGAACAAGAAAACCAAGGTGGAGGCATCACAATACCTGACTTCAAAGCATACTGCAAGGGGCTAGGGCTGTTAATTTAAGTTGCCACCTGCAGCACTGGCATCTCATATGGAAACCTGTTAAAACCCCAGCTACTCTAGTTGAGATCCAGGTTCCTGCTGGTGCACCTGGGAAAGCAGTGGAAGATGGCTCAAGAGTTTGGGTCCCTGCTACCGATGTGGGATACCCAGATGAATTCCGGGCTTCAATCTCACCCAGCTCTGCCTGTTGTGGCCTTTTGGGGAGTGAACCAGTAGATGGGAGTGAACCAGCTGATGGAAGATCTCTGTCTCTCTCTCTAACTCTGCTTTTTAAATAAAATAAATAAATGTTTTTTAAAAAACCATACTGCAAAGCAATAGTAATTAAAACAGCATAGGGGGCTAGCGCTGTGGCACAGTGGGTGAAGCCTACACTTGCAGTGCTAGCACCATGTATGGGTGCCAGTTCGAGTCCTGGCTCCACTTACGATCCAGCTCTCTGCTATGGCCTGGAAAAGCAGTAGAAGATAATCCCAGTCCTTGGGCCCCTGCAGCTACCTGGGAGACCTGGAAGAAGCTCCTGGCTCCTGGCTTCAGACAAGCTCAGCTCCAACTGATTTGGCCATTTGGAGAGTGAACAAACAGATGGAAGATTCTCTCTCTCTCTCTCGGCCTCTGTCTCTTTATGACTCTACCTTCTAAATAAATAAATAAATCTTAAAAGAAAGAAAAGAAAAAAAAACACAACATGGTACTGACATAAAAACTGACACATAGATCAGTGGAACAGAATAGAAAGCCCAAAAATGAATCCACATTCATATAGCCAACTGATTTTTGACAGAAGTGTCCAGACCATACACTGGAGTAAGGTAATCTCTTCAATAAATTGGTGCTTGTAAAATTGGATGCAAATATGTAGAAGAATGAAATTAGATCCATACCTCTCACCATATACAAAAATCAATTCAAAATAGTTCAAAGACCTAAATTTAAGACCTGAGACTCTGCAGTTACTAGAAGGAAATACAGGGGAAACACTCTTAAGACATTTATTCATTTGACAGCTTATAGGATAAGAACTCCAAAGCATAGGGAAACAAGGCAAAACTAAACAAATGGTATTATATCAAATATAGAAGCTTCTGTACAGCAAAAGAAATGATCAACTGTGTGAAAAAATGTGCACGCTTCCTATCTGACAAAGGATCAATATCCAGAATATATTAGAAACTCAAAAAACACAACAAAAACAAAATAAAAACAACAAATCTAGTAAAGAAATGGGCAGAAGACTTTGATAGACACTTCACAACAGAAGAAATATAAATGACCAACAATATGTGAAAAAAATGCTCAACATCACTAGCCTTTAGAGAAATGCAAGCCAAAACCACAATGAGATACCACCTCACCCTCAGAAAGGCTGTTACCGGCCAGCACCACAGTTCACTAGGCTAATCCTCCGCCTGCGGCGCCGGCACCCCAGGTTCTAGTCCCAGTCGGGGCTCCGGATTCTGTCCCTGTTGCCCCTCTTCCAGTCCAGCTCTCTGCTGTGGCCCGGAAGTGCAGTGGAGGATGGCCCAGTCCTTGGGCCCTGCACCCGTATGGGAGACCAGGAGGAAGCACCTGGCTCCTGGCTTTGGATCGGCACAGTGCACTGGCTGTAGTGGCCATTTGGGGAGTGAACCAACGGAAGGAAGACCTTTCTCTCTGTTTCTCTCTCTCTTACTGTCTAACTCTGCCTGGCCAAAAAAAAAAAAGAAGAAATTCTACCATTTGCATCAAAGTGGATGGAACTTGAGGACATCATGTTGTGTGAAATAAGCTGGACACGGAAAAAGAAATACAGCTAAAATTAAAAAGAAAAGCAAAAACAAGAAAGAAATGCCTGAGTATATCAGTTGGCTATAAATATAGCTTTGTCAAACTTTGTTTTGTATTTTTGTCAAACCAATGATTATGAACGTTATACTGCTAGAGTTTTAATGATCTGTGATTATTTTAAAATTTACAGCAACTGGTGGAAAAAAATCATCTTTCATTGAATTATTGTTTATAGCCCTTGCCTATTTTACTGCTGAACTAGGGTCTCTTTTTCGTTCTGTTTTGTTTTGTTTAACTTGTTAAGATCTTTATTTAGTTGAGCATTTAGCCCCTAACTGTAATGTTAATTAAAAATATGTTATCTTGGGGCTGGTATTGTGGCTTAGCAGGTAAAGTCACTGTCTGTGATGTCGGGCACCAGTTCATGTCCCCTCTGTTCCTTTTCTGATCCAGTTGCCTGCTAATGGTCTGGGAAAAGTAGCAGAAAATGGACCAAATATTTGAGTCCCTGCCACCCACATGAGAGACCCAGATAAAGCTCCTGGTTCCTGGCTTTGGCCAGGCCCCTCCCTAGCTATTTGTGGCCATCCAGGGAATTAATCAACAGATGGAAATCTCTCTCTCTCGCTCTCTCTGTTTCTCTCTAACTCTCCCCTTCTCTATGTAACTTTGAGTTTCATATAAATATATCTTTTTAAAAATGTTATGTTAAAAGCTTAAAAAGAGGAGGAAAGGAAAAGGATTAGAAGAAGAGAAGAGTGGCAGGGAGAAAGAGAATATCATTACATTATTTTAATTGTATCTATGCATTGATTCTGTTCTGTTAATATTATATTAACATGAAAACATAACACATCATTAAAAATGAAATAAAAAGCACACCCCTTTTTTCCATGTTAACTTTATAAAGTATGTATGTAAATATATAGAAAACCCCTGTCCAACTACACATACTTTTATAAAGCCTTCTTGAAATATTTTTGTATTAATCATGCTTCAGATGCTTTATATAAGAGTTCTGTAAACAGAAGCCAACACACTTCATTGAAAACTTAATAGAGAAGATATAGTACAGCAAGTAAAACCCATGTGGTGGTATAAAGATTGAATTTTAGTAATACATGGTTTGCTGCCATACTGTAAAATTCAAATATATGTAAATACATTTAGTCTTATGTGCATGTTGAGTGTTTTCTGACATTACTTTATTTTTGTTTTTATTACATGACTCAATATTTAATGTACTGTTTCTGTTTATTGCCAGGTTATCCAGATAAATTTTGAAGAATTTGATTTGGAGATTGGCTATGATACCTTGACAATTGGTGATGGGGGTGAAGTTGGAGACCCTAGGACAGTGCTTCAAGTGTAAGTTCTCAATTTTTCACTTCTTCCTTAGCCTATCAGATGTTTGTCAGATTTTATTGTCAAGTTATTTTTTTCCATTTATCCCTCCCACTACATGAATAGAAGTAAAGAATCTTAGTTATTATCACCAACCTATATATAATCTATTTCTTAGTACTTCTACCCTTTTAGTTCCTTTGACCTCCTATAACAGAATACACTAAATTAGTAACTTACAAACAACAGAAATGTATTTTTCCCCACTCTAGAAGATCCGAAGTCCATGATCAAGGTGCTAGCAACTTCAGCATCTGGTGAGGTCTTGCTCTTCTCTAACAGGATGCTTCTCAAATTAGGATCTTTCTGCATCACTAATGCATCACAATTACCTAGTAATCAAAATATAGATTTATGGACCTGAGCCACTGAAACAGAATCTCTGGAATCTGGACCCAATAATCTGTTTTAGCTGACTCACCATATGACCCTTATGTACACCAAAGTATGATAGCTAATGATATAAAATTTTAAAAAAATTATTTAGGCATAGGGGCCAGCGCCATGGCTCACTTGGCTAATCCTCCACCTGCGGAGCCGGGATCCCATATAGGCATTGGGTTCTAGTCCCGGTTTCTCCTCTTCCAGTCCAGCTCTCTGCTGTGGCCCGGGAGGGCAGTGGAGGATGGCCCAAGTGCTTGGGCCCCTGCACCCGCATGGGAGACCAGGAAGAAGCACCTGGTTCCTGGCTTCGGATCAGCGCATTGCTGGCCATGGCGGCCACTTGGGGAGTGAACCAACGGAAAGAAGACCTTTCTCTCTGTCTCTCTCCCTCTCTCACTGTCTAACTCTATCTGTCAAATAAAAAAAAAATTAAGCATAAAAAACTCCTAGAGATATTGCTCTTATCATGCGTATTTCTCTTACTATGTAATGTACTAAAGGTAAACTACTTTGCTTTTCTTCTGTATTTAATTTTTTTTAAAGATTTATTTTATTTATTTGAAAGTCAGAGTTACAGAGATAAAGACAGAGAACAAGGTCTTCCATCTGCTGGTTCACTCCCCAGATGGCCACAATGGCCAGAGCTGGGCCATTGCTTCCAGTTTACTCAAAGTTACACGAGCTTCTTTGGTAGATAAAAATCCAGTAAGTTCTTTTATCAAAGTGTCTTTTTTACGATTTGTACTTATTTATTTCATTAACAAAGAAGAGATGAGAGAGAGTGAGCAAGAGAGAGAGAGATCTTATTTGTTGCTTCATTTCACAAATTCCCAAAATAGGGAATCCAGGACTCAGGACTCTCCCATGGGAGACAAGTCAATTACTTGAGCCATCACTGCTCCCTTCTGGGGCTTACATTTGCAAGAAGGTTGTGTCAGAAGACAGAGTCAGGTGTTGAACCCAGGCACCTGTTATGTCTTAACCATCATCTGAACTACTAGGTTATTTTTATTTTTTAATTTTATTTTTTTGACAGGCAGAGTTAGACAGTGAGAGAGAGAGAGACAGAGAGAAAGGTCTTCCTTCCGTTGGTTCACCCCCAAATGGCCGCCATGGCCGGCACATTGTGCCAATCCGAAGCCAGAAGCCAGGTGCTTCCTCCTGGTCTCCCATGCGGTTGCAGGGCCCAAGCACTTGGGCCATCCTCCACTGCCCTCCTGGGCCACAGCAGAGAGCTGGACTGGAAGAGAAGCAACCGGGGCAGAATCTGGTGCCCCAGCCGGGACTAGAACCCAGGGTGCTGGCTACACAGGTGGAGGATTAGCCAAGTGAGCCACGGTGCTGGCCTGAACTACTAGGTTAAACATAACTTCTCTTCATGCATTTCTATTTTTTAGAAAAAAAAAAATGTTTATTTATTTGAAAGGCAGAATTGCAGAAAGAGGTACAGACAGACGAAGAGCTGTTTAATCCACTTCTTTACTCTCCCAAATGGCTGCAACAACTGGCTTGTCTATGGTGCTGGAGCTGGGACTGGGACAGGCCAAAGCCTGGAACTTGGAACTCTGTCCAGGTCTCTCTGCTCTGCTGCCTTCCCAAGCAAATCAGCTGGAAGCTGGATTGGAAGCTGGGACTGGAATCTGTCCTCGTAAGACATACATCATTTCAGGCAGTGACTTAACCTGGTGCTCCACAACTTGGGCCCTTCTCTTGAAGCACTTTTGACATTAATTGAACCAGTGTCTTTTCTCTGCAGCGTAGATGTCACTGGCTAGCAATTTGATTGTTTGTCTGTGGCCTACTGCAGTTCTATTTTGTGCTTCCCAAGGTATGAGTGATAAAGAACCAGTATTTTCAAAGCTCTATATGTTGAGTTACTCATCTGGACTTTTTGTGACTTCATTTTAAACACTTCTTCACTTAAAAATGGTCAGCCTTTTGACAGCATGTTGAGCCTGTCATCATCACATTGGACTAATGTCTTATAGAAATAACCTATAGTTTCTCCTAGATTTCCTTTTGGATTAGTATCTGATGGATTTCATTATACTGTAAGATCGTCTCAGAAATTGCTACAGAGCTGCTATAACCAGTAGAAATGTTTATTTTTGTTTATCAAGTAGTGTGTTTTCTTCTTTTTTTTTTTTTTTACTTTTTTAAAGATTTATTAATTTAAAAGAGAGAGAGAGAGAGAGAGAGAGACATTGAGAAAGGAAGATTTTCTATCCATTGGTCCACTCACCAGAGTGCTACAATGACCAGATCTTAGCCAGAATGAAGCTAGGAGTCAGAAGCTTCATCCAAGTTCCCCACATGGGTGACAGGGGCCCAAGTACTTGAGCCATCTTTGCTGATTTTCCCAGGGAGATGGATTGGAAGTAAAGCCCCCAGGACATGAACTGAGATGCCAGCATCACAGGCATCGGTTTAACCCACTATGCCACAATGCCAGCCCTTGAGTAGTGTGTTTAATAATTGAAAAATCACATATAAAAACTTGAATTTGTGGTTTTTTTTTTTTTTACCAACTAGTAACGTAAGGCCTGGACAGTTAATGGCAAAAATTGACTGGACAGTTGCCTATCGTACCCCTGATTGAGGAAGGGTTATAGAGTCTCCCTGACCAATAAACTCTGTATCATTTTGTGCTTGAGATTCTATAATCCTTTGCTTTATCTGCCTGGGTCTATAGCCATTTACATATGTGACACCTAACAAAAACACAGCATTTGGATTTTGTCATCCTTAAATTTGTTTGCTAATTTTCAAATAAAAACGTGTCTATTCCTTCATCTAACACTTTATAATAGTATTAATAGTAGCATATATGGTGATTGATCCTCACATACTTTCTTTCAATGTTTGATAGATCTAATCAGATACACTTCAGAAATGAAATTATAAAAATACATGTAATGCATTTTTCTACTTACTTCAGAAGATTATTTGGTTAGATTAAGAAAGTTTACAGGAAAAGATAGGCTGGCTAGTCAGCCTAATGAAGGATATTTCTTAAGAGATCTTTTTCATGTATATGACACAAAATGGAAGTAACTATCAATATTAGATCAAATATTGCAAGTCATCTTGTGCAACTAACATCCTGTATCATATTCTATATACTCCTTTTGCCACTGCCTTTTATAAAAAGATCTTTGAGTTAATTAATATCACAAAATTATAGCTTGACAGATTGTAAGCAATATATCTTTACAATAATCCAATAAGTCCCAGAAAATATTATCAATGTTATCTTAAATTTCCAACCATTATAAAAATAAGCCAGTACCTTTTTTAGGGATTCAGAGTGATCCATAAAATTAAGAAATGTGTGTTTAAGGCTGGCATCGTGGCTCAGGAGGCTAATCCTCCACCTGCGGCGCTGGCACCCCAGGTTCTAGTCCCGGTTGGGGTGCTGGATTCTGTCCCAGTTGCTCCTCTTCCAGTCCAGCTCTCTGCTGTGGCCAGAGAGTGCAGTGGAGGATGGCCCAAGTGCTTGGGCCCTGCACCTGCATGGGAGACCAGAAGGAAGCACCTGGCGCCTTGGCTTCGGATTGGCACAGTGCCAGGTCATAGCAGCCATTTGGGGGGTGAACCAATGGAAGAAAGACCTTTCTCTCTGTCTCTCTCTCCCTCACTGTCTAACTCTGACTGTCAAAATAAAAAAAAGAAATGTGTGTTTGAACTTTGTATTTTACTCTATTCAAATATTGGGAAAATTACAGAGTCAACCATTAATTCTGAAATACTGGTTGATGTTCTTTTTACAGAGCAAATCATTATGTTATGAACATGGAATGGATTTTAAGTACTATTTTCTAAAGAATACCTAGTACCCTAATGGACTTGCCTATATTGTCAAATCACATGGTTCCAATTAGACAATCCAGCATGTATTCAGAACTAAAGCTTCATTCTTTGACTATTAATGGTCAAAGAATTGACTGCCCATTCAATAGATCTAAATTGATTCTATTGTGGGAGTATGAGAGAACTGGGAAAGAAAATGAACAAAATCATTAAATCTATCACAAGACTGAGACTAACACACACATATACAGACAAATGTATTCATTTATTTATTTTGTTTATTTGAGAGTAAAAGAAACATAGGTGGAGAGGATAGATATTTACATACATGCATACAAATAGACATACATACATATATAGAAACCTCCCATCTGCTGATTAACTTCCAAGTGCCCACAACAACCAAGGTTGGGCCATGCTAAAGCCATAAACCTCAACTCAATTCTGATCTCTCATGTGGGAGGCAGAGACCCAAGTAGTTGAACCATCACCTGCTGTCTACTAGGGTGAAGATTTGCAGGAAGCCGGAGTTAGGAGTGGAACTGGGACTTGAACCTAGGCACTCCAATATGGGATACAGGCGTCCTAAGCATCGTCTTAACTGCTAGGAAAAAAAAAAAACTCACCCCTGAGCAAGTATATGCAGATGCAGTCTTTATTTTAATTATTTATATACAGATACACACACATGCACACACACATGTGGGTGTATCATGTGTGTGTGTGTGTGTGTTCTGAGTTTGGGAAATTCAAAATAAAAAGATAGGACA